CTGAGTGAACTGAAAGCGAGGATACCTTTGGTTCGTGAATTGAACAATTAGTGGAAAAGATATGACAGAATGATCTAATCTGCTAAAATACATGTGTTTAAATGGGAAATACCGCCAGATGACGTCACTAGGCGGTGCATTTTCTCACTTTCAAATCTATTTTTATACTATTTCCCATATCAGAAAAACTTATAAAAAATACTGTGAAACCAGCTCTTTAGGCTCTTTCAGATGAAGCAATACTGAATTTGTGTGAAAATTCTCCATTCCCCAGATATTTCACTAATTTCCCTGACACATTTTGTTAAAATTTCAGGACAGTGGGAGATACGCCATATGGTAAAAAGACATGATTTGAAATAGTTTTCGGGCAAAATTTGTTGTTCGAAGCGTCACAGCCATTCCGGATAGCGAATAATAAAGGTGCCTTAAAAATTTGTCCCGGACACTATCGTTATCTCCCTGGCGTTTCCCGGTGTATCCTCACAGTTGCAACTCTGCATATCAACTCGACCATCGACCCAGGGATTGGTCGGGTATTTGTCAGGTTTTTCTCCCCTCAGAAATGATTTTTTTTAACTTTTCAAGGACCTAAAATGTTTTTCCACAAAATTTTACTCAGGCCAAACTCTACTGCAACCTTGCGAAAAATTCCTTAGCTGCCCCAATGATTGGTCAAAGTTTGGAGGACACTAGATTTCGAAAATTTGGACATTATGTACTCTACCGAAGGAAAAACGTCGTATGAACCTTCAGGTCTTGCCAAATTTCCTTCGATAAAATAGGAATTTTCAAAAAAATGAGTGAAAGTTTTTTCTTCAATTTTTCAGAAAATGTATCCGCAATTTGAAGTGAACCATCGGAACACTTCAAGGGAAAATATGCATAAGTTTCATTAACAAATACATGTTTATTCAGGGAAATTTCAGGGAATTTCAGGGAAGCATCGTATGCATCTGTAAACGTTGCCATATGTATTTTAATAAAACTCGAACTTTCAAGTAACCTATCAAATATTTTTCTTCCGCTTTTTCTGATAATTTCGTCTGAAATTCAACCTGAAGTTTCTGAATATTTAAAGGAGCTTTCTCCATTACTTTCCAGAAAAATGATTATTTTGTCACGAGGAATTTGACAGCATTTGAATGCAGAGGCGAATCCAGCAATGTGGCAACACGGGCTTCCCTCCATTTAAACCTATGTTAAATAATCGATTCTTGTAGGAGCACTTGACCCGTCCAAAAATCGATACATTTCCATAGGTTTAAATGGAGAAAAACAATGTTGCCAATTCGCTGGGTCCGCTCATACGGCGTTCTTCCTCCAAGCGGGAGCTATGGAAGTTCGGGACTTTTGGACGTCCTCGCGAAAGGTCAGCATCGACGCTAATCTCTGGGCTCTTTATGCTGGGCGTCTAGGCCCTAAAAAAGGTCAATGCTATGCGTGGCCTGACTGGGAATCGACTGTTTTGCGCCGCGCCGTTTGGCGTTCGGCCTTACGCGACACTCAGCGGACTGGATGGCAAAAAATAAGCGACACTCAGCGGACTGGATGGCAAAAAATAAATGAACACAGTATGATCTGATCGTCCACGGAAAAAGGGTCCTTATTGAGCCAAAACTCTCGAGATCGAATCATTGGAACGAGGTATTTTATTCAAAAGTCTGGAGTTTTAAAAGCAAAGCAGGTAGTAGTAGTAAGATAAGTTTATTTTAAAGCGGTGCTTTAGCATCTAAGGCCATTCACACCTCTGTGTGTTTACGTGGAAATCAAGGTTACATCAGTGAAAATACAACAGGGTTGAAAGGGAAGGTTAAATTTTGAGTTTAGTGGAGCGCATAAATTCAAAAAGTTTTACACGATGAGTATTCAGAAGTAAATTTTTAAGAGAGGGTAAGGGGCAGGGAAAAAAACGTTTTTGGATTTCTTTATGAAGTGGGCAACTTATAAGAACTTCATCTACTGTTAAGGGGGAATTTGGACGAGAAGTACAAGCAGGGCGGTTTGATTGGGTCATCAAGGAACGAGAGAAAGAAAGAGAA